ACTCCCACTCACACAGTAAAATAAGGCAATAGAGAGATTTAGGCTACTTAAACTGCACTTTGGGTACTCTTTTCAAAAATAATCAGTTCTAGTGAAATGCATGAGTGTAACTGGGGGGATGACATGTGAGGCTTTTAGGAAATTTATTTATGGACACTTTAGCTGGACTTACCAAGCACACACCAAGCCTTCTTACTATGATATGCTCTTTATGGCCAACCAAAGAGTTCCCCTGGGTTTGGTTTCCTCATAGAGAATGACCAAATAAAAAATATGAAATAAGAGTGACAGGAGCAGTTTGGATGGCTCCAAGCTCACCTGTTGGATTTCTGCCATCTTCTCAGAGATCGTTGCGGACGAGTGCGGCGGCATCTGTGACCAGAACGCCAAGTAAGGGCTGCATGGACTGCCTCCTTTCCCTCTCCCTCCGCTCCCTCCAAAGACGCCAGGAGCTAAAACCCTGCTGTCAGGGCCGTGATTCCTGCACGATACAACCAGAATGTTCAGATGCTCCCGGGAGCAGCGTTTCTGAGTTTCAGTGTCCGTGTTTCTTAGAGAGTAGCAGTGGTTCTGTATTTCTGGGTCTCTGTCTGTAAGTTTGACTCTTTCTCTCAGAGTTGGGGGGGCATGCTCAGTTTCAGGGTCTGTCTTTATCAGAGAGTTTCAGTTTTTCAGGGTTTTTTGGTTTCTTTGTGTCTCTGTGTGTGAGTCTCAGTTATTCTCGGAGTGAGTCTCAGTCCTCCTCTTTCAGCTGTGTGACGGGTGTCGCCGGCAAACCTGCCACCTGCTCCTGTGTTGCTGGTTACCAAGGGAATGGAACTGTCTGCAAAGGTGGGTGAAGATGCGCACTTCTCTTAGTTTATTCCCACAGTATTCCACACTGTAGCTCTTCAGAGCAGAGCAAACACTTATTGCCTGTTGCTTATCTGATTAGGTTGTATGTGTTGATGAGGGATGCTTTTATTGCAATGATCTCTGTTTTCTTGGTATTACGAGTGTTATGAGCTGTGTGAGTGTCCTGTGTGGTTACTGAGGTTGCAGCTGCACAAAGAAACAAATCCGTGTTGTGTTTTCACAGAGATTGAACTGTGTGGCCATGGCAACGGCGGCTGTTCGCTGCATGCAAACTGCACCAGAGTATCACCGGGAGTGCGGAAGTGCACCTGCCACGCCGGCTACAGCGGGGACGGGGTCGTGTGCGAGGGTGAGTGTCTGCTCCCCCCTCCCATCCTCCGTCTGAGCGCTGACCGCTGCACACCGCCATCGTGCCTCAAAGAGGTTATTACAGCACGCTCAGGGAAACGCAAATATCTTACAGTTTAACTGACTTATTTGCAAGTGGATGTCTTTTAAAGACCCCCAGGAGAGGCGCTGTGTTATAGTGTACTAAAGGAGTGCTTTACCCAGAATTTGAACCTGAGACCATCAGGTTACAGGTTGTATTTCCGTAGTGCTGCTCTGCTGTCTCCCATGCTGTCGGTCTTTATTGATCCTTGTGGATTTTTTTGTTATAGAATTAAACGCCTGTACATCCCTGCAGAACATCTGCCATGAAAAAGCTGAGTGTCTTCAGACAGGCCCCGGTCAGGTGAGGCCCTGTGATAATACACCATTAAGCACAGCAGAATGAAATAAAACATTGGTGGGCTGGGAATTGTATGGCAGAGAAGCTGACCTTACATCCCTTCCGCTGTGGAAACTGTTTGCAGGTCATCTGCAGGTGTATGGAGGGCTATTCTGGAAGTGGGCTGTTCTGTCATCCAGTGAATCCTTGCAGGAAGGCAAGTACCTCACCCACCACATACCAGCATAGCCACAGAGACATCCAATGTCCACTACAAATGGACCTGTCTCTCTTTGTGTCCTACACTCCTGACCTCTCTCTACCCTGCACTACTGACCCCTCTCTCTCTGTCTCTCTCTCGCTCTCGCTCTCTCTCGCTCTCTCTCTTTCTCTCTTTCTCTCCCTCTCTCTCACTCTCTCTCTCTCTCTTTCTCTCCCTCTCTCTCACTCTCTCTCTCTCTCCCTCTCACTCTCTCTCTTGCTCTCTCTGCAGAATAATGGAGGCTGCAGCATGCATGCATGGTGTGAGTTCAGAGGCCCAGGGCAATACAACTGCACCTGCAGGAGAGGCTACAGCGGGGACGGCATTACCTGCAAAGGCAATATCATGATAGTGAGTCTGAGTCTCTAACTGAATATCAGGATAGCGAGTAACTTTTGTAGAAGGGAAATCTCACCTCAGCGGATGTATTTTAAAAAACAAATTGTTCTCTCTATTCAAGGAAATTATGCGCCACCCAAACGCCTACTGGTTCTACAATAACTTGAGGGTATGTAGAATCTGTTCAAACTGTGCAAAACTGTGCAACGTATATCATGTTCCTCAACAAATACAGGCAGAACCTTTCAATAATAAAGTGCCTCAGATTTGCCTGATATCATTTTAATGAAATCTTGTTTGTTTCTGTAGAAATCTAAAATCAATGATCTACATGAAAAGGGTCCTTTTACAGCATTCATTCCCCATACAGATTATATCAACAATTTTACGGTAACGTTCTTCTCTTTCTGAATGTTCTTAAACATGCATATATCCTCAACTGTCAATATTGACAAAACTGACAATACAACTGTCAGATCCATTGTGTGTCTGCAGGCTGCATCATTTTATCAGTTCTAATAGCTGGGGGCTCTGATTGGGGGTGTCTGATTGGGGGTAGGCTCTGATTGGGGGTCTGATTGGGGGCGGGGTCTGATTGGGGGGCTCTGATTGGGGGTGGGGTCTGATTGGGGGAGGTCTGATTGGGGGAGCTCTGATTCGGGGGTCTGATTGGGGGTAGGCTCTGATTGGGGGTCTGATTGGGGGTCTGATTGGGGGCTCTGATTGGGGGTGGGGTCTGATTGGGGGGGGGGGGCTCTGATTATGGGGGGGGCCTCTGATTGGGGGGGTAGGCTCTGACTGGGGGGGCGGGCTGTGACAGCAGGGTAGTTGGGCTCTGACTGACCTCTCTGCGTGCAGATGGAGCCCTGGACTGACGCCGGTCGCAGCGGAGACCTGCTGAGGTATCACCTGGTGAGCTGTGAGCAGATGCTGATGTCTGATCTGCAGTCTATCGGCCAGGTGTTCTCCCTCTCCGGACACAGTCTGCGCTTCAGCAAGCGAGAGGTATCCCAGCATGCACCCTGCACACGCACCTCAGCCCTCCAATGCAAAACGCATTCATTCATATAAATAATAACAATAATGCAACAAAGACACACTTTATCTTCAGGGTGTTACGTACATCAACGACGAGGCCAAGATCATCACCAGTGATGAAACTGTCTACAACGGGGTCATTCACTTCATAGACAGAGTCCTCGTCCCCTACGACCTGCAGAAGTACAAAATGAATCCCTCCAAGGTAGAGTGAGACTGTCACTGCAATCCCCCCCCCCACCATATCCTGCCTGAAGCACGAGGCCAAGGATGGTACCATACTTCCTTTCATTGTGTCGTAGGCCGGTTGTGCAGTTGCAGTACAGATACTGCTTATGCTTTATTAAGCCATATAAATATCGCTACACATCTCATTAACACATCCCATTATCACATATCATTTCTCTTTCATTACTGTTTATGTGTACAGCAAAAGCCAGAGCCTCTTTAAAATAACTTCTGAAATGTTAGTTTCAGTGCCTTCCTCTGTGTTTAAGTTGAATGCATGCATCTGCATTTATGTGAGTATATTTTATACTACTGAAGAATGATACCAATAAGGAAAGCAATTTCTACCTAAACAGACCCACTAAGAGTACATACGTCATTATGGTAAAACTGGTAGGGGTTTATTCAGAATGATATGAGCACTGTGATCATTATGAATTAATGCTGAGTTTCATTTTGCAGTGGAATGTTAGTGCTGCAGCAGAGGCTTATGGGTATAGCACATTCAGCAAACTGATCCAGGTACAGTCAAATTAGAACTGATACTGCTCAAGTCTGACATGCATATCTCCTCATCTGTGTGTTTGTAATATTTGTCTTTAATGTTTAAAATCAATATTTCATTTGGCCCTAAAAAAGTTTAATGTTGACAGTTGGTGCATGGTGGTGATAAGATAGGTCAGTGATAAATGGATATACAGTTTTTAACTGTAGTTTAAGTGTCTTTTGTTTGGCTTGATGCAACTGTTTGTCTGTGCATCTGTTCCTGCGTCCATCCATGTTTAATTGTGTATTATAGTATTGGCTTGTGTAATGTCATGCAGTATTACAGAACCAGTAAGTGGACACAGTTCAGAGAAACATTGCTTTCTGAACTTTCTGAACTGAGTTTCATAATTCATTTCCCCAAAGTGCTAACTAGAACCTTTGTTTGAACTAGAAATTGAACAGTACAAATAATGAACTCAAGTTTCAGATGGAGCGCACTGTGGGTTGTAGAGAGATTTATGCAGCATTTTGGGAAACAGAGTAAGTTAGTACCTACTACTATCAGGGTTTGCAAGGAAAGGACCCAGGTGAAAAAATCACAAGCAAAATCAACTTCAGAAAAACAGTCCGAGTCAGTAGCCAAAAATCCAGTGGAAAACAAAAAACATCCAAAAACAACAGGCAAAAGAGAAATCCGGGACAGGCAGAATCGGCAACAAGCAGGAACAGAGCAGGCTTACAAACAAAAGGCAAGAATGAAACAGCTAAGACACTGAAACAATCGGGCAAAGAACAAAGAAAACAGCAGGGTATATGTAAGCAGGCAGACGATGAGGGTACGAGACACAGGTGTGCAGAAATGAGCTTCAGGTGACAGTCATGGCAGAGTAACAGAAGGGCAGGGAAGCAGGCGGGGCAAGGAAACACAAGGACCTGTAAACAAAAACGAAAATAAGACACACCCACACAGACAGACAGAGAGAAACCAAGCAGCTCAGGCCGAAGTGCTGACAGCTACAGTACATTATGGGCGCTATCCAGAGAGCTATTTTCAGTATTATTTACAGAAGATTTTGTTTGGGTTCCATGGTGTAATGGTCTGCACCATGGACTTTGAATCTGGTGATCCGAGTTCAAGTCTTACTGGAACCTTTTAATGTGAGCCAAATCTTCTTCTGGGGGCAGCAGTGTAGCACAGTGGTTAAGGAGCAGGACTCTTAACCCAAAGCTGGCAGCTGCTGAAGGCCATGTGATGTAACGCAGTGTAATGTTTGTGCTCAGGAGCCCAGCCTGCAGAGTCTGGTCCAGAATGTGCTGCACCACCCCCTCACCATGCTGTGGCCCACGGACGAGGTGTTCCGCTCACTGCCCGAGGAGAGGCGGGCGTGGCTGTTCAGTCCCGAGCAGGCGGAAACGCTGGCCAGCTATGTGAAGGCCCACATCATCCGGAATGGCAAAGTGAGGCTCAGAGCCTGGCGCCTGCTTTAGCACCAAATGCAGGGGCTTCCGTGGTTACAGAACGTGTGTGTGTATGTGTGTGTGTGTTTACATGTGTCATGGCTGAAGGTAATTTATTTATCAGGGACAGCGTGCAATTAAAAACATCCAGCAATGCAGTCTACCCCAGTCACACACAGGACACTTTTCATTGGTGGAGCCAAGGATGTGTGTGTAAATATATGTGTAACACACATGCACATGAATGTGTGTAAGCATATGTGCATATATCTTATGTGTGTTTGTATGTGTATGCATGTTATTTGTGTGTATGTGCCTATATGTGTGTGTGGGTTTTCCATTTAGCTTGCTGCTGCCAATCTACCCTCTATGGAAAATTTCAGAACAATGTTTGGGTCAACTCTCACTTTCGGCTGTGACAAAAAAATAGTTGTGAGTATTTTATTCATTCATATTTACATTTTTAAAATGAATGTTTAAAATGAATGTTTAAAAATTGAATATGTATAAGGTGATTCAAATGGTATAAAACACGGATGGTTTAATGAAATTACACAGCCCAATCCGTTTCTTTCATGTCCAATGCTGTCATAATATTCCCATGATGTCATTCTTCTCATGTCATGTTCCTATAAAGTCATTTTCATTGTGTCACACTTTTCACTGTTTTGACTTTACTTGTTCTAAAATTCGAGCTTTTTTTTGTCTAAATTGAAAGTTGCATTTCCTTATTTTTTTCAGGGTGATATAGTGGTTGATGGAGGGAATGCTAAAATCATTGAGCGCCACCTGCAGTTTGATGTGGGGATTGCGTATGGGATTAACCAGCTTCTGGAGCCTCCTGGCCTGGGCGCTCACTGCAACATCTTCAGGGAGATGAAGATACCGGTGAGAGCCTCTCTCTGCGCTTCAGAAAACCAGGCGGGAGGCCTGCAGCTTGTTGCTAACAGACGCTTCGATTTCTGCCTCCTCAGGGAAGGTGTGAGAGCTGCCTGTTGACCCCCCACTGTCCGTTTGGGATGACCTTCACGGTACGTTCCCACCCGCGGGAGGGCGCCACGGCTGCAGGTGGCGTGAGGGAAAGCAGGTTTGGCCTGCAGGAGGGTGCTGACGGAGCCGCGCCTGTCTTTCAGGGGGAGATCAGCTCCTGCATGTTCAGTAGGCCATGGAGGCCCTGGAGGAACTATGGCTACTTCTCACCATCGCGTCCGTGGCAACTGTTAGACACCGAGGAGATCCCAGGCTGCAGACGGGAGTGCGGGAAGGTGCAGCTGATCCAAAAGTGCTGTAAAAATCACTACGGGAAAGACTGTCAAGGTGAGAATGCCGTCAGCCCTCACCTACAGCCTCATCAGGCAGGACACACACCTCAGTCATAGGTCCTCCTCCGGTAACGTAATGTAAAGCCGACCTTCAGAGCAGAATGCTGTGGTCTTTCAGCGTGCCCTGGAGGGCTCGAGGCCCCCTGCAGTAACCATGGCGACTGTGATGACGGACAGCAGGGCACGGGAGGATGTACCTGCCAACCCGGCTTCACAGGCACAGCGTGTGAGCTGTGCGAGAGCCACCACTACGGACCCAACTGCACAGGTACAAATACTGATGATCCACATCTGACCTCTGACCTCTGACCTCTGTGTATTGCGCAACCCTGATGAAGTGTGTAAATACATGTAAAATGTGTGTAAAGTTTAAAGTAAATGTATCTGTTTTATGGGAAGTTTGTAAATATAGTAAATGTGTTTAAATACCATTAAGAGTAAATGTGGGAAACTTCTTTACTTAGCTGGCTTCCTCACAAAGCACACATTTCTACCCATTACACATTTATACAGCTGGTTATTTGTTGAAGCAATTAGACTGAGTTCCTTATTTAGAGGCACAACAGCAGTGTCCCACTGGGAAAGCAAATCTGCAAACTCTGGCTTACAAGGCCAGTACCCTCAGCACTACCCCACGTTTAGCATGTATGTGTAAAGGTGTGTAAACATGTGTAAAGGTGTGTAAACTTGTATAAACCCCTGCATACCTGTGTAATGCCGTGTGTGTTTCTGCAGCGTGTGTCTGCTCTCAGAATGGGAGGTGTGAGGACGGACTGGATGGGGATGGAAGCTGCTTCTGTCAGGAGGGCTGGACAGGGGCCCGCTGTGAACTCAAACTGGGTATCTCAACACCCCCCCACACACCCAACACCCGACACCCCACTGCACAGCACGCATTGTAAAATTAAACACAGGGTCCTGAAAACAATTACACATACATTCACTAAAAACAAAAGGCCTAACTCCCAGCACACACTTCTGCCAACAGGCCTCACTTCCAGCGTGCTCCGTGCTGACAGCAGAGGGTGCACTTTGGGAGGCTTGGCTAACCTGTGGAAGTGTCTCCCTTCTGCAGGTGAAAAGCCGGTCTGCGCGCCGGCGTGCCACCCTGCTGCTGTGTGCCAGCCGGGCAACCTGTGCCAGTGCCAGCCGCTGTATGTGGGCGACGGCAGGAACTGCACCGGTACGATCCGCGCGCCTGACCGGCCACTTGTCTGGGTGGTGAATTTCAGTATCAGAGTTGCCATTGTGCTGTTCAGCACATCCCCCTCTACCTCCCCATATGTGGTGTACCTGGCATAAATCTAGACTATTTATTGGTGCATAAAATATTACACATGTTAAAATGGATGTACAGTTAACGCGCAGATAAATTTAGGAGTGGTACTGACCTTGACCTGTTTGTTGGGACAGCTCTTGATCTCTGCAGTGACTACAACGGCGGCTGCCATCAGCAGGCAGAGTGTGTGCAGACAGGTGTGAACATCACCTGCACCTGTCTGCCCGGCTACACAGGGGATGGCGTGACCTGCTCGCCCATCGACAGGTGTGTGCAGGAGGCCAACGGCGGCTGCAGCGAATTCGCCAACTGCATCTTCACGGGCCCGGTGAGTCCCCCGCCGCTCAAAGCCTCCCATTTCCCATGATGCATGTGGGCAGGGAGAAGCACACTGAAACTTTCCTCTGCTTTGGGACCGGGGCAGAACGAGAGACGGTGCGAGTGCCTCCCGGGGTACGTGGGAAACGGAGTTCAGTGTCTGGAGAAGGTGGTCCCGCCCGTGGATCGCTGTCTGCTGGACAACGGCGGCTGCGACCCCAAGGCCAACTGCAAGGACCTGCACTTCCACGGTGAGAGAGGACAGGGGGCAGCCACAACTCTGCTGCCCAGACAGCCCCATACTTTTAGCCTCACAGAGAACGGGGGGCAGGGAGAGGGGAGAGGGGAGAGGGGACAGGGGCTGGGGGTGAGGTTTGAGTTAAAATGAGCTGGATAGAAAACATTATCAGTCACCATTCTTTCCATGGATTACTAAGACACTGGGGTCTTTTCCACTTGCCAGAGTTCCTTTGGGAAAGAGGGATGCTTGAGTTCCTGGGTGAAAAAATGAGTGCAGGTGTTTCAGAGAACACTGCTGGAGTATTATTTTCGTTTGGCTGTGTTTCAGAGAACACTGCTGGAGTGTTATTTTCCTTTGGCTGTGTTTCAGAGAACACTGCTGGAGTGTTCCACCTGAGTTCACCTGACGGAAGGTACAAACTAACCTACAAAAAAGCCCAGGAAGCCTGCCAGGCCGAAGGTGCCACCCTGGCTACTTTCTCACAGATGTCTGACGCCCAACAGGTAATCCTGACATTTTACTCCCAGTGGGTAATAGAAATTACTCCCAGTATATAACATCAGCACTTTCATTCTAATAAGTAAACCCAACACTTTAATGCAAAAAGGTAATATTCACATTTTTACCCATCGGTAGATGTGTGAGGTAGGCTTTAACAGCACAGGCCATAACATTTGAATAGACTAAACTTCTCTGTGTATCATGTGGGACAGCAGACCTTGCATTGCTCTGAGGCAGAGCAAATGCAGATGAGAGACACTGTACATGAGAAAAATGCTGAGGTGTGATGTGTGTGTATAAGGTGTGCTGTGTTGCTTACAGCTGGGGATGCACTTGTGCACAGCAGGCTGGCTGGACAAAGAGCAGGTGGGTTATCCTATCCGATATCCTTCACCCAACTGCGGAAACAACCATGTTGGTGTGGTGCTCTACAAGGAACCTGTGGACACCAGCAGCACATACGACGCCTACTGCTACAGAGTGAAAGGTACTGCTCAACATCTCATAGAACCAGGTAATACATCACATCATTTTCCTATGAAGAGGGCTTACTGCAGCGTGTTCAACCTGTTTTAGATGTGTCCTGTGAGTGTGGATCTGGCTATGTCGGTGATGGGGACTTCTGCAATGGACACTTAGCCAGCATTGTGGCCACCAACGCCAATTTCTCTCACTTCTACTCTGTGAGTATCTCTCTCTGGCCCTCACAGGCACAGAGGGCGCAGAGCTTGTTACTGTAAGCTCCCGTTTGTCTCCTCAGTCGCTGCTGAAGTACGCCAGCACTTCCAAGCAGGGAGAGGCCCTGATGAGCTTCCTGTCCACCCCCTCCACGTCGGTCACCCTCTTCGTCCCACAGAATTCCGGGTTTAACGCAAGCAAGGTAACCGCACAGATTTCCATCTGAACACAAACGACCCAGGTGACCCGTCTCAGTTAAACCGTGTGAGGAACGTTTTGAGTGACAGTGCCTAATGTTCTTAGCCCTTAACATGGAGAGATGTGGAGTACCACTTAACCATCAACAACACGGTTC